TTTTTTTTTTTTTTTTTTTTTTTTTTTTTTTTTTTTTCCCTTTTTGTCTTTTTCGTGTCCGGCAACGGATCGCAACCCTCAGTGTTGCGCCCGTACTTGACCGGGACCGGCAACGGGATCGCAACCCTCGGTGTTGCCCCCGCGCCTCGCTCTGCCAGTGAGCGGGAACCGGTCCGTATGTGGGATCCGAACCCTCGGCGGGAGCGCAGCCGCGCTTCCCAAGCGGTGCACTAGCGCAGTGCGCCACCGGGCCGGCCCATGCTCACTTCTTAAAACATAAAACAATCCAAAAAATCTTCCATGAACAGACCCCCAGTCTACCTTTCCAAACTTCATTTCTTTTTTTTTTTTTAAAAGATGACCAGTAAGGGGAACTTAATGCGTCTTGCTGTTGTCAGCACCACGCTCTCCCATGAAAGCTAACCGGCCATCCCTATATGGGGATCCAAACCCATGGCCTTGGTGTTATCAGCACCACACTCTCCCTTGGCTGACCCCCAAACTTCATTTCTTACCACCTCTATAAATGTAGCATACATTATGGACAACTGGAGTACTATTTTTCTCCCCAACACATTTTATATTCTTCTAACACATGCCTACATTCCATCTTTACTTCCTTAAGTTACAACCCTTTTTCATTTCACCTGGCCTTTCCAGATTCCTAGTAAAAATGGATCTCTCCCTGGGTAAAAAGATAAGAATCCACATGGGAGAAAATATCCAGGACCCATAAAACCAAAAAAGGGCTTGTATCAAGAACATATCCAACAGTAATTTATACTTATGTGGATCAGAAGACATGTTCAAGAATATTCATAGCACCATTCTTCATAATAATGTCAAACTGAAACAATCCAATTGTCCCTCAAATAGATTAAACAAACAAAACTTTGTGGTTCAGCCATATGACACAATACTACACAATGAAAAAGAACTAAATACCACTGATTACAACATTATAAATAAATCTCACAAAACATAGAGCAAAGAAATCAAATGCATCGAATATATATTGTAAGATTCCATTTTTTTTTCCTTTTTGTCTTTTTTTTTATACTGACCGGTAACGGGATCGCAACCCTCGGTGTTGCGCCTGTACCGGAGACCGGCAACAGGATCGCAACCTTCGGTGTTGCGCCCGCACCGCGCTCAGCCAGTGAGCGGGAACCGGTCTCCACATGGGATCTGAACCCTCGGCGGGGGCACCGCCACACTCCCAAGTGGCGCACTCTCCAGTGCACCACCGGGCCGGCCCGTAAGATTCCATTTTTTTTTCCTTTTTGTCTTTTTTTTTATACTGACCGGTAACGGGATCGCAACCCTCGGTGTTGCGCCTGTACCGGAGACCGGCAACAGGATCGCAACCTTCGGCGTTGCGCCCGCACCGCGCTCAGCCAGTGAGCGGGAACCGGTCTCCACATGGGATCTGAACCCTCGGCGGGAGCACCGCCACACTCCCAAGCGGCGCACTCTCCAGTGCACCACCGGGCCGGCCCGTAAGATTCCATTTTTTTTTCCTTTTTGTCTTTTTTTTTATACTGACCGGTAACGGGATCGCAACCCTCGGTGTTGCGCNGCGGGAGCACCGCCACACTCCCAAGCGGCGCACTCTCCAGTGCACCACCGGGCCGGCCCATAAGATTCCATTTAATGAAGTGAAAAACGAGCAAAGTTTCAGGAATTGGATAATTCTCTATTTCTCGACCTGGGTGGTGTCCACATGGGTGTGTTCATTTGTGACACTGTGTATCCTATGATTTCTGCACTTCTTGTGAACCTGTATTTTACTTCAATTAAAATATTTATTTAAAAATTACACTCTCCTTCCCTGTTCTCCCACGCTACTAACACTTGAGCCTATATCACTTATGTTAGAATACCTTATGCATTTATCTATCACCCTTCACTAGAAATACCCCCAATTTAACTGTGAATTGACCAGAGCATCTAGTTGGCTCCTTTGGACAACAAAGGCACTCAGCACACTAGTGAAACTGAAGTTGCCTGGATATTTCCTTATTTCAGTAAGTCTTTTCAAGGCACAGGATGGAAAGGGAAGATCATGAAGTTTGGTTGTAGCTACAAATTGAAACAGCTCAGAAAAAAGAATTTTGACATTTCATCCTCTGACAATGACACTCTCTAGAAAAATCTATGTCTTCTCAACCACTCACCACTGCCATCCACTCAAGTCCTACTATTCCTGTGCAGCACATCTTTCATAGCATCTATGTGTGTATTCCTCTATTCACCTGGATCTACTTCTACCACAAGCACACTATCACACCTGCAAGGTACTGCCCCTACATCTTGACCTCTCTCCATGTAAGGACTCCATCTGTCCCACACAGTACACAACATGATCGTTACAGCATCTCTGTAGCAAGAACATGAACAGTCATGCAATAAAAACTTGTCTATCATGAGTATCTCATTTTTTTCCTCAAAGAATCTATTTCCTTAAATAAAGTCAGGATATTGTAGTCTTTCATCTCTTTTCTTACAAGCTGGCAGATCTCTGAAGAAACAGTGCTCCTTTCCCTCAAGCAGGACTCCTTCTAGCTTCCACCAGAATAATCACCAGAGACGCCCACAAGGATAAGTGAAGCCTTAAACAAAACTACAGAATCAAGTTGTAGATACTTGCCTGATGTTTAATAGCATCATATAATAACTGCCGGCCAGAAGGCCTATCAAAATCCCCAACAATCCAGAAAGTTACTGGCCTAATAAAAGAATCATCTGTAGAAAAAGAATAACAACAAGTTGAGTTAAAGGGAAAAAAAACACGTTCTATGTTGCAACATTGTTGCAAATAATTTCTGAAAATCATGCAAAAAATAAGAAAATGACAACTTAAATAAAGATACAGAGCAAAAGTGGTGAAATGTCTCTACTAAAATGAAAGGAAGTTAGCCTTCTATGTGGCTTAATTACAAATTAGGAACATGCACTGATTAAGTCTACTATGGTCTAGGCATCTGTTAGCATATAAAACGGAGAAGAGCCTTGAACGTGTGGGTAACATATTATAGTCTTTAATCATATCAATTTGTAACTATCCAAAAATGTAATTCTTTGCAAACATTAAAAAATATTAATCTACATTGATAAGCCTAATATTCCCCACAGGTTCCAGACACATCACAATAAAGTGTCAATAAACTCTGAATTACAAATGGTCCCTGAGACCACAAAAGGTAATTAAGAAAAGGAGTAGAACATTCTGAAATTTTAAGTTACCATAGATTTCCTTGGAGGACATTCCTGGACAAAGGGAAAGGGAAAAGAGTAGAAAAAATAAAATGTCATTTCTATAATTAATGCTTACTATAAGAGCCAAAGTTTAATGGTCAACATGCTCTATGCTCCTCTCTGCTCCTTAGTCCCATTGGTGTTATGGCACTGTTCTAGCACCCCTCAGAAACAAGTTCTTTGAGGAACAAAATGGAGTAACTGCCTATACTTACACATATCTGGGAAACTAGAAATCCTCCCTGGGAGAAAACCACAGTGGAAATAAAAATAGCTG